GCCAACTGCTAGTGGGAGACCTCGTCATTGTGGAAGCAGGGGACATATTGCAAGTAAGCTCTTTTAAGGTGTTGTACGACCGCAAAACACACACATTGACGCACACGTTGGCAGTCGTACACACATGCACGCGTCCGTGTGATACACACACTCGTGATATACACACACACATGTACATCCAGTAAATCAGCCACATGGCGCTTTCTCCCTCCCCTCCCACCCAACCTCCCTTCATGCCACGGTCATGGCTGCGGCCACGGTTCGGCCAATAACCCGCCCCCGTTTTCCGAGGCCCCGTTGAACTCCCGCCTTCCCCCTTTTTTCTGCCCTTTCTCCCCCCTTTCTTGCCCCCATACCGCTTGTACGGCAACCAGGCGGACGGGCTGTTGATTGCAGGGGGCGAGATCAAGTGCGTGTGCCATTGGGGGTGATGTTTACCGTGTGGGTTTTGTGTCGTACAGGGGATTACTGGGGGATTAGGGGGGAATCGGGGTGGGGTGTAAATAGTACAGAAAAAACACCATCAAGGATATTGCACAATATACCACACAATACTACTGCAAAAATCCCGACCACCGACTTTCCGACGTATTCGGCCTTTGCTAAGACACTAATATTTATGATAATGGTTTCTTGGGCCTCCTTCACCTCATCTGTCGATGGTGGGTGCAAACAATTGCACGCAGGTTGGACCAGAGCCACCTAACGGGGGAATCAGATGAAGTGTTGCGCGCGCCCGCGGGCCTGGGGTCACCCTCTGTCGTATTGTCCGGCAGCAAAGTTTTGGATGGGTACGGCAAGATGATCGTACTTGCGGTGGGGCCGTACAGTCAGCAGGGCAGCATCAACGCAATGATGCGCCAAGCTTCCGCCGGCAGCGGCGGCAGTGCCGCCGCCGCCGTCGCCGCTGGCGGACGCGGAGGCGCTGATTTACCGATGACGGCGGCGGCGGCGTCGGCTGCAGTTACCTCCGCGTCGTTGGCCTCAGCTGACGGCGAACACGGCAGTACGGCACAGCAGCAGGGCCGGCGGCGGCAGAGGCAGCGGAGCCTGGCCGGGCTGAGCAGTGGCGCCGCCACCGCCCTCAAGGCGTCGGCGGCGGTGGCGGCGGCGGCGCTCGCAACCGTGAGCTCCGTCGCTAGCTACGACGGCGGCGGCGGCGGCAGCAGGGACGGTGAAGACGCCGCCGAGCAGTGCACCTCTGCCGCCGTACGGCAGACGCCGGAGGGGGCAGTTACCGAGGCGCCGGCGGCGCCGGCAGCGGCGCCGATGGTTGCCGCCAGGGGCGACACTGAAGGCGGTGGCATGAGAGTGGAGACCTTCCTGACTCAGAAACTGCAGGCGGGTTTGTACGACTGTACGGACATGTTGCGCAGCGCTTCCGTGCTGTATGTATGTATTATGTAAACATATTATATACAATATATATATAATATTATATTATATATATATATATATCCTTTCCTCATTTGCAGGTTCTGGCCCAGCAGATCGGCGCGTTCGGAGTGGCGGCCGCCAGCGGCGTCTTCATCATCAACGCGGCGGCGTACACGACCAGTCTGCTGGCCGCGGGCGGGGGAGGAGGAGGAGGGGGAGGAGTGATGGACATTGTCAAGGTAGGCAGGTGATACTGGTAGTGGTAGTTGATGGTTGTATGGCATTATGCGGTATGTTACTGCAAATACCCCTCCTTTCCCCCCCTCCCCCGCGATTTCCCCCGCCCCCCAAGGCCTACCTAGACCTCGTCATCACCTCCATCACCATTCTGGTGGTGGCGGTGCCTGAGGGGCTGCCGCTGGCGGTGACCCTGGCGCTGGCGTTCAGGTGAGGGGGAGGTGGGGGGGAGAGACGAACCACGTGAACGAGTGAAGCGGATGCCAAGGAAAGACTGATGCGCCATGGGGTGGGGAGGGGAGGGGAACACAGGGGGCGGCCCAGGGAGGTCATGGGTGGGGAGGGGTGGTGGTGGTGGTGGGGGGGGGAAATGGGGGGGTTTGAGGCTTGGGGACCCTTGGGTTTCTGATGTGTGGTGATGATGTAGAGTTACAAGACATGCAAGACGAAGCAGAAGGGGTTGGACCTGTCGGGGCGTGCTGCCGCACCCGGGAGGAGGAGGAACCCGTCCAGGGAGGTCCAGGGCGGCCTGACCCCCCGGCGGCGGCATCACAGGAGAGTGTGGGGTGATGTGCGGTCATGGCGAATTTTCCTGAGCCATACACACCACACACAGACATACATACACACACAGTCACACACATGCGTCTCTCATCCACATTCCTCCCTTAAACCCCTAAAACCCTTAAAACCCCTAAAACCCAATCTAATTTAAACACACATTCGGGCAGTGTACAGCGGATGTTGGCGGATAACAACCTTGTACGGCAGCTGGGTGCGTGCGAAGCGATGGGCTCCGCTACGACCATCTGCAGGTATGGGCTCGTGTGTGTGTGTGTGTATGAGAGAGAGAGGGGGGAAAGGCGCGATCCCATGGATCCAGATCCGATAAAATTTAATAGAAAGAGCGGGATTTTATTCCGGATCTCGTCCCTCCTGTCCTTCCGACTTCCTCTTTTAAGATCTCCTGCATTAGGACATCCGAGATATTCCAATGGGAATTGCCAAATCAAGTCAATCCAAAATTACAATGCAGCCAATTTATTTGTTAATTCAGTCAGTCCACACACACGCATTTCATTCCGGCCCTGCACCTTTACTTCCTCTCTTTCCTTTCCAACGTTCCCAGCGACAAAACCGGTACCCTAACCTCCAACGACATGACGGTTGTACGACTGTGGGCCGCCGGGCGCCATTTCCGAGTGGTGCGCTCCACTGGGGGCGGCGATTCGGCGGAGGACGAGGCAATTGAAACAACCACCACAACTGCTACTAACAACTATTACAACTACCGCAACCACAATGGCGCCAACCACCGCAGCAACAGTAACCCTGCTTGCAATGGCGGTTTTTACAGTTTGGGCCCAACGGCGCGGCTTGTTCCGATGGCGGTCACGGAGCCGTCGACGCGGCCACCGACCCACGGGTCGATTGAGCCCAACGGCGCGGCCGAAATTACCGCCACCAAAAACAACACCATCAGCACGACCCAGCCACCATCCACGATCACCACCACAGCAATTTACACAGAGACAAACCAACATCAACAACACCAACATCAATATCAACACCAGCAGCACACGTCCTCCTCTTACTCCTCCTCCTCCTCCTCCACCTCCTCCTCCTACGGCACGTTGTCCCCAGCCCAGAAGGACGAGGTCCGGGTCGCGGAGGCGCGATGCCAAGGAAGCAGCAACACACCTAGCAGTAGCAGCGGTACGGAAGGGGGGGACGCGGCGTCGACGTCGGCAGTAGCCGGTGAGCACAGGGCTGCCGCCGGCTCGCTGCTACAGCTCCCGCCGGCAGTTCGCAACGTCCTAGTCCAAGGCCTTGTGGTCAACTCTACAGCAAGCTTGCGGCGAAACCAGGCCCACAGCGGAACAAGCTCCGGAACCGGGGTCTTAAGGAAGGCTGGCGGGGGTGGCGGCGGCGGCGGCACTGAGATGGACGCGGCCCCGGCGGCGGCGGCGGCGGCAGCAGCACTCCCGGCGGCGGAAGGAATGGCGGCGGCAGTAGCAAGCGCCCGCGGCGGCGGCGGCGTCTTCCAGCGCAGCGGCAGCCCCACGGAATGCGCTCTCTTAGAGCTGCCGTACAACCTCGGTTGGGGTTGGGACTGGGAGTGGAGCCCCGGCTGGGGTGGTTTCGGAGGCGGCGGCAGCGGCAGGGGTGGATGGGATGGCGGACGCAGCGGCGGCGGCGGCGGCGCGTCAGCGTCGTCGATGGAGCCGACGACGACGCTGACGTCAGGTACTGCTGCTACGGCCGCTGGCCCCGTGCAACTTTCCGGCGGCAGTTGCCAGGTGCTACAGCTTGTGCCATTCTCCTCACAAAGAAAGAGGATGAGTGTTGTAGTGTCAGCGCCGCCGCCGCAGCCGCCGTTACCGCGGTCGACAGTGTACGACAGCAAGGACGGCGGCAGTAGCGGCATCACCATGAGCAGTAGCAGTATGGGAACCTTTTTGGATAACGCGTCGTCGGTATGCAGCAGTAGCAGCGTTGATTGGGAGCTGTACGGCAGTCCCGCCAACAGCAGTAGCACTAGTAGTGGCGGCGGCTACAGCTCCCTGGCGCCCGTACGTGTGCTGACAAAAGGGGCAGCAGAGCTGGTTCTGGAGCGGTGCTCTTGGCAGCTTGGAGGACCCGATGGTACGACACTGTTGCCGCTGACGTCAGAGCAACGACGAAAACTGCTTACGTCATTTTCAGGTATGGTGGGGAACATAGGGGCCTTATGTATTTATTGGTTTGGGGTTGGGTTGGGAGCTTCCGGGGGTAGTAGATATCGGACATCAGACCATACAGACAGACAGACACGCACACACAACCCTCATAAGTCACATTCCTATATCAACATCTACCCTAAAATATTCAGCGACGTATTATATGTAATAAATAAGGCAAGGGAATATTCTGTTACATACATTGATCGCGCTGTTACATACGTTGCAGCTGGTGTCGATGGAGTTGCCTCCTCATCGCGGGGCTGAGGCCATTAAAACAGCACCACAACCGCCACAACCACCACAACCGCCATAACCATCACAACCACCGCTGCCAGCCTGTCAGCTGTGAGATATAGTTGATAGCGAAGCACAATAGCGCAAAAGTGTGCGTCTCTATGTGTGTATTCGTGGCTACGAACTGGCACTTGCTGTTTATCTGTATGTATGTATGGTTGGTTGGTTGGTTGGTGGTTCATTAGTCCATGTACGTCCCTGCCGTACACTAGTTACGTTTCCGTTACTTTTACTGCATCGCATATTCCCACGGTGGCAGGTCAGGGCGGCGGCTCACTTCGCCTCCTGGCGTTGGCGTACAGGGACATGCTCGTACCTTTGCGAGGTACGGCATCAGCGTCGGCGGCGGCGGCGGCGACGGTGGAGTCCTCCAGCGTCGGCGGCGCCGCTTTTTCTTCCGTTGGCACGGCTGGCAAGTCCGTTGACGGCGTCGTCGGCGGGGCGGCGTCATTTGGCCGCAGCGAATACGGCGGCGGCGATTCAGGTCGTACAGACGGCGCCTCGACGACCTTGTCCCTTGACCCTGACTTTCTGGAACGGGTGAGATGTGCTGCTACTGCTGCTGCTACTGCTACTTTTATGCTACTGCTGTTGCTTTTATGCTACTGCTGTTGCTTTTATGCTACTGCTGATGCTGAATTAATTAGTTAACTAGTTTTAGTTTAATTTATTAAGTTACTTTGTGATTTGTTTTCTGTTATATCCATGGATATTCCTAAACAGGACATGGTTTTGGCGTGTTTATTGGGATTGGAGGACCCGTTGAGACCCGAGGTGCCGGAAGCGGTGGCGGCGTGCAAGAGAGCCGGTGCGTGTGTGTGTCTGTCTGTCTGTCCGTCCGTCCGTCCGTATGTATGTCCGGGGGACTGGGAGCAACACTTGCATGTCAGCTAGCAAGCTGGCAGCGCAGCAACAGCAGCAGCAAAATTCTACTTCACTACTCTTTCGTCGCCACGTCGGCGTTGACCCTCCGATGATTTACTCCACGATACTCTTTCCGAAACCGTTTCCTCTTTCCCCCTTTGCCGCCTTTAGTCGTACACACAACCACGACGGTTTCCGTCCTGTTCCTTTTTTCCTTTTATAAGGCTTTGCTTTCATCTCTCGACGGCTATAGGTAGTTTTTCTACGCTTTTTCGCCAAGACTACTATCCAAGTCATCATTGGTCAGTAAAATATTCCTAATGCAGCATTTGTATAGTTCTCCTGGACTATCCGTCTGTTTCTGGTATCTGCTTCACTCGCCAGTGGTTCGTCTTACCCACACCCCCGTCCCCCCTATGCTCCCCCCTTCCCCCTATGCTCCCCCCTG